AACTGAGATGTACGGGAGTGGAATGCCTCATCCTGGGAGCAGATGCAGCAGAGGTGAAAGAATTGGGAATAGGGGATGGCATTTTTGCAGGAAGGTGGGTGGGAGGAGGTGTATTCTTGGTAGCTGTGGGAGTCGGTGGGCTTGAAATGGATATCGGTTTCTAGGTGGTTGCCAGAGATGGAGACAGAGAGGTCCAGGAAGGTGAGAGAGGTATTAGAGATGGTCCAGGTGAACTTAAGGTTGGGGTGGTAGGTGTTGGTGAAATGGATGAACTGTTCGAGCTCCTCGTGGGAGCATGAGGCGGCGCCGATACAGTCATCAATGTAATGGAGGAAGAGTTGGGGTTTAGGGCCAGTGTAGGCACGGAAGAGGGATTTTTCCACGTAACCTACAAAGAGGCAGGCATAGTTTGGGCCCATGCGGGTACCCATGGCCACCCCCTTTGTCTGGAGGAAGTGGGAGGAATTGAAAGAGAAGTTGTTGAGGGTGAGGATGAGTTCAGCTAAGCGGATGAAGGTGTCAGTGGAGGGGCACTGGTTGGGCCTGCAGGACAGGAAGAAGCAGAGGGTCTTTAGGCCATCTGTATGGGGAATGCAGGTGTACAGGAACTGGATGTCCATGTTAAAGATGAGGTGTTGGGGATCGGGGAACTAGAAGTTCTGGAGGAGGTGGAGGGTGTGGGTGGTGTCACGGATGTAGGTAGGGAGTTCCTGGACCAAGGGGGAGAAAATGGAGTCGAGATAGGTGGAGATAAGTTCGGTGGGGCAGGAGCAGGCGGAGACAATGGGTCGACCAGGGCAGTCAGGTTTGTGGATTTTGGGAAGGAGATAGAAGCTGGCAGTGCAGGGTTGGGGAACGATGAGGCTGTGGGTGGGGGGGTCACCTGAGGTGATGACTTTGTGGATGGTTTCAGAGATGATGGTTTGGTGGTCGGGGGTGGGGGTCATGATCAAGGGGGCGGTAGGAGGTGGTGTCAGAGAGTTGGCACCTGGCCTCGGCGATGTAGAGGTTAGTGTGCCATACTACAACTGCGCCTCCCTTGTCCGCGGGTTTTATAGTGAGGTTGGGATTGGAGCGGAGGGCTGCACGTTCTGCGGGGGAGAGGTTGGAGTGGGTGAGAGGGGTGGAGAGGTTGAGGCGATTGATGTCTCGACGGCAGTTGGAGATGAAGAGGTCGAGGGAGGGTAGGAGGCCTTGGGGTGGTGTCCAGGAGGAGGGGGTGTGTTGGAGGCGGGAGAAGGGGTCAATAGAGGGAGGGTTAGGCTCATGGTTAAAGAAGTAAGCGTGGAGGCGGAGGCGGCGGAAAAACTGTTTGAGGTCCAGGCGTGAGCGGTATTCGTTGATGTGTGGGTGGAGGGGGACAAAGGTGAGCCCTGTACTGAGGACTGACTGTTCGTCCTCAGTAAGGGGGAGGTCTGGGGGGATGGTGAAGACCCGGCAGGGCTGGGTGCTGCTGTCTCCTCTGGAGCTGCTGGCTGTGGAGGCTGTGGGCGGAGCGACGTCGGTGTCGTTGGTGGGCCGTGCGGCATGGCTGTGGGCGGAGTTGCGTCGGTGTCAGCGGTGGGCGGAGCGGGTAGGCAGCAGCAGCAGCGGCAACGGTAGGTGCATCCTCAGTGTCTGGGGTGTTGGCCTCGGAAATGGAGGCGGTGGCATCAGCAGCAATGGTGTTCGCTGTCCCAGAAGTGGGGAACCCGGCGGTGGCGGATGTGACATCATCTGTGGGTTCTCCAACAGTGGCCTCATGGCTAATGGCAGCGGGCACATTGTGGGGAAGGTCCTGGGTACGGCTGGGGATTTGGGAGGTGGAGGAAGCCCGTTTTGGGTGGTAGGCACCAGTAAGTTTACTGTACTTACGGTTTATAGTGTCCAATAACGCTGAGTAGAATTGTGAGTTCAGGTTGTGGATCCTACGAAGAATAAAAAACAGGAGAGGTCCTTTGCAGGTCTGGGAGAGGGAGGCTCTGAGCTGGGGTAGGCTTGATTGTAGTGCCTGGAGATGCCGGTGCATTGCTGCGAGTGTGTGTTTCAGGAGTCGCAGGGAGAAACGCTTCTGAAGGATCTCAATACTATGAATGTAGACATTGTCACAGTTGGGGCCAAATTGGGAAGGCCTGAATGTGGACTGTAGTCCATTGGGGATGATCTGGTTCCGTAGGCAGGTGCTAAGAAAGGTAATGTGGCTATAGTACCTGGTTTGCTTCAGGACGTGGTCGAGCAGTTTCAGGGCCGAAGAGATTACGAGAGAGTTGCAGTGGGAGAGAGATCCTCTGAGGTTGTTCCGGAGGGAGGAGGGTAACTTCTTCAGGGTAGGCATCCTTAGAAGGATGCAGGAAGTGCCACATCTGCCCCTACACCTCCCCCCTCACCCCCATCCCAGGCCCCAAGAAGACATTCCACATCAAGCAGATGTTTACCTGCACATCTGCTAAAGTGGTATACTGCATCCGCTGTTCCCGTTGTGGCCTCCTCTACATCGGGTAAACCAAGCGGAGGCTTGGGGACCGCTTTGCAGAACACCTACGCTCGGTTCGCACTAAACAACTGCACCTCCCAGTCGCGAACCATTTCAACTCCCCCTCCCATCCCTCAGACGACATGTCCATCCTGGGCCTCCTGCAGTGCCACAACGATGCCACCTGAAGGTTGCAGGAACGGCACCTCATATTCCGCTTGGGAACCCTGCAGCCCAATGGTATCAATGTGGACTTCACAAGCTTCAAAATCTCCCCTCCCCCCACCGCATCCCAAAACCAGCCCAGCTCGTCCCTGCCTCCCTAACCTGTTCTTCCTCCCACCTATCCCCTCCTCCCACCTCAAGCCCCACCCCCATCTCCTACCGACTAACCTCATCCCACCCCCTTGACCTGTCCGTCCTCCCTGGACTGACCTATCTCCTCCCTAACTCCCCACCTCCACTCACCTTTACTGGCTCCATCCCCGCCTCTTTGGCCTGTCTGTCTCCTCTCCACCTATCCTCTCCTCTATCCATCTTCTATCCGCCTCCCCCTCTCTCCCTATTTATTTCAGAACCCCCTTCCCCTCCCCCATTTCTGAAGAAGGGTCTAGGCCCGAAACGTCAGCCTCTCTGCTCCTATGATGCTGTTTGGCCTGCTGTGTTCATCCAGCTCTACACCTTGTTATCTAGGAATAAATGGCACATATGCGACTGCTTTGTATACATTTTTGAAGGTCACTTAATTGTCCTTTTGAATCTTTGCTGCATGTGAACATTCAGGTTTCTGAGTCAAGTAGGTTTCCACCTACAAGCAGGTTCCTTTCCTCCTGTCTAAGTATAATTACCATGCATGTTCTTCACTAATTCTCTGGTAGTTTTCCCAGAGACTCAATCATGCTTCATTCGCACAAACTCCTTCCAGGACTGCAGCAGAAAGAACTTGGATTATTAGTGACGCTCAATTACTGTTAAAACCACAACTCCCTTTCATTGACTGGTTAATCCCTCATTTCTCATCAAGCATATTTTGACATGAGACTTATATTTTGGATCAAATAGAACAAATTAAACAAATTGGACCTAAGATAGCTCATGAATGATTGAAAAAAACAGTATAACAGATGTCTTCCTTATTGATTTGGAAGTGCTGACACAATGACAGTGTTTCTGCGTCAGTTTTAATCTCTCTTGGTGAAGGGGCATCTGTCTGTAGTGAATGTCTCCATCTAGTGTCCAATGGAAGAAATGTCAAGTCCTGGCTGGCTCTCCAGTGGTCTTCGCCTGTGCTTCTGGGCTGGATAAGCAGCAAAGAGTTCAGTGTTTATCTTTGCTGATTGAAACGATCCATCTCACAACTTATAGCTGACCTTGGAGGATCCTGAATCAGCTGGCCTTGCTTTCCTCCCTGTGAGTGTCCTGCCAGTCACTTCAATGTGAGAGCAGTGAGGGGGGAGGAATGGAGCTCAGAAAGTAGCAGAGCAGATAGCTGTCATGTACCATCTGCAAAGTGATTGATCTGCTATTGCTGGTTTAATGCCACCACTAAAAGTAAAATTTACCTCTTTGCACCATCTCTGGAAATATATCCAGGCGGTTATTCCGACTGGGGCAAATTCACGCATCTGTTACAACCTTGAAATTTGTAGCTTCACCTTCTGTTGAGGAGGCAGTGGTCGAGTGGTATAATCTTTGGACTGCTAATCCAGAGACCCAGGTAATGTTCTGGGGACCTGGGTTTGAATTCCACCACAGCAAATGGTGGAATTTGAATTCACTTCTTAAAAAAAACTGGAATTAAGAGTCTAATGATGACCCTGAATCTGTTGTCAATTGTCGTGAAAACCCCATCTGGTTCACTAATGCCCTTTAGGGAAGGAAACTGCCATCCTTACCTGGTCTGGCCTACATGTGACTCCAGGCTCACGGCAATGTGGTTGACTCTTAACTGCCCTCTGGGCAATAAATGCCAGTGACGCTCTCATCAGGTTTAGCAAAGAGCAAAGCCTTCTGGGAAGATGGCAGCAGCTTGATTGAATGTGGCCTGTACAGCAGAGCTCCTGTGAGGGCAGAAGATGCTGCATAGCTACACAGTACCATGAAGATCACTGAAGCAGGCTGCTCTTCCTTTACATTTTAGCCATGGACCCAATTGTTCCACTTCTTCAATAGGCGTGCTGCCAGCATGCAGTCCCAAGCTGTTCTGGAAGATTCTGCTGTTTATTTTCTGCTCAGAGTGTGGTTAGAACGTGGACCCTGCTAACACAAGGAGTGGTTTTGTTGTAAGGTAGCGATGTATTTAAGGATAGGATAGATAAACACAAGGGGAAAATAAACTGAAGAGCGGAAGGAGGATCATGTGGAGCATCAGTGGCTGTCCTAGATCAGTTATAACCAAATGGCTTAAGTCTTTGGTGTAAATTCTGTGCCATTAGTCTGTTCCCAAATCAATCCTGCAGCTTGCTCAGGGTGAGGTTTCCCCAGCCCCTCAGTCCCTTCTGGCTCAGACCCAGATCTCTCTCACTAAGTAAACAATGGTGAACTGTACCTGGTCAGCAAAGCTGATAGCATCGCGAACATTGAGCTTTTGGTATAGGTCCCAAATATCATCCTTGATCCTATAGGCCGACTTGCGCATCAGTAGCTGGCTCAGGTACTTCTTGTCGAAGTGCTCCCACCTGCAAGAAAAGAGGAATACAGCAGTCATCCAGAATTGTATTTGAACACAGTAATTGAATCCACTGTTAACAATGGCATTGGGACACGGTGAATTAACACAGAGCGGCCAGACATCTGTAAGAACATATCATTGGCTCGGGGAAGTGGGAGTTGCTGTGTACTTCACAGTGCCCTAGAATCAAATGGCTATAGATTGTCTCCATGTTTTAGCCTAATATTTTTCTTTCCCTTTCCCCTTCCTGATGCACACACATACATGGGAGGGTCCCTGGAACTCGGAGCATTTCTGACTGACCCAGGCTGATATCACTGGAATGGCCCAGAAAGAACAATAGTATTGGAACAGGGAATTTTAATGTTTCGGTCCATCTAACAACATAATTTCAGAACTGTATCATTATAATTTTTACACAGGCTTTTATTATTATAGTAGCAGGGATCATAGCACTGGCCTTTGGCCTCTTTCTCTGTGAAGTCACATTTGCCTCGTGGGCTCAAACCGAACTATAATTGGATCAAAAATGATTTCAGCTCCAGATGCAGCAATTTTCACAGTCAGTCTGTGTAAGCCCATGCTCACAGCAGAAACAATTACGCTGTGAACTTTTCCTGTGAATCAGCACGCGTTGAAACAAGGATGGATTTGGAGGAGCTGTGAAAACAGGGCTTTATTGACATGATCAAATGGCTGTAGCAACTTGTGTCATCTGGTTGCAGAGAGGCATCAGAGGTGCGTGACCCACACCACCACATTTCCCCAGCTGCTCCGACCCGTGTGTACGACCGTGAGAGGGAGAAAGAGAAAATCACAGGCAAGTCACACAGCTCTTCGCTGTGTATAGCGCCACCCCCCCCAACTTCACTATTTATTGATCTACAAACTAGTTGCAGAAACATCTCCAAATACTTTTAATAAAACTCAGCTCACATCCTGCGTACTTCCTATTGATGCATATTTGCAATATCCTCCATTTGTTCTGACTCAAGACGGCCCATTTGGATGATTAGAATGAATTATCAATGAAGTGGAAAATAAGTAACACTCAATATAAAATGAGTAAAACTGAAACTCTGGTCATTATAACTGTGGTATACTGACCCTGGAAAACCCAGGTCTGTATGGAACTGATACTCTACAACCCTCTGTTAGAACTGATACGAGAACACTCACTGCCAGTCTGCTGCTTACTTATCACAGATTCAGGAATGAGGGCTTTTTAAAACTAATCTGAGGCCAGTTTTCAAATCAAGCATCTATGTAATGTGCGATTTAACAAAGATTATTGACAACCGATTGTAAATTGGATTGAATTAATTGATTTCTCAGCATCCTGTAGAAACAAACTCCAGATGATTCTGCTATTTTACTACAGAGAGTACACACAGGTTGTCCTCACTTAAAGTTGATGTTGCGTTCCAGAGAATCAGGACATTAAGTGCAAGTGTGGTCCTGAGTGTGGCGGCAGTCTGGGTCACCCCTCAGGGTGGATGTGGTGTGGCCAATAGCTCTGCTGGGAGCTTCCTGGTGAATCTTCGGGTAGCACTGTTGTACAGGGAGCAGCTGCACATCAGCAGGTCGGCATTGGGAAATGTATGGCCTTAAACAACATTGTAAGGAATTTCGCAGGGACCAAATGAGATTTTGGTCCTCATAGCGTAATGACTTTAAAGTGAAACAATGCTAAGAGAGGCTACGTTAACAGTGGAGGACCCATACATTACCATCCACTGGGACTGCCCTGACACAGTGGTGCCAAGAAGACAGTTGTACCTGGAAGACAGTCAGCAAGAGAGGCACCAAGTGCTACATTCACTGCAGTCACTGAATCAGTACCAGCCCTGGCCGGCCAAGCTGAATTTCAGCTCCTGTGCTGGGGGACTGACAGCTAACAAAGACCATATTGCAAACATGTGTGGGAGAGGGAGATGCGGAACACGCCTCAGAAGCAGACTCCTACTAGGCCGGACTATTTTATAAAATGCTAAACAACAAGAAACATGTCAGACTTAACTAAATTCAACAAACCTCGGATTTCTACATTAATAACAACAACACAGGCAGCGCAGTGGCAATAATAGTTTACTGGTAATTCTAGCACATGTCAGTGAGGGACAGGGAGAAGGATGATAACGTGGGTCAAAGGTTATGATTTATGATTTTGCAGAGAACATTTTTATTTTCAGCTTGTTACAAATTTAGCATCAGTTAAAAGATGTTACGACAAGTGAAAACGTGTGATAATGTTTAGAGATGATATTGAGATGTATAATCCTCACCCTGAACCTCCTCCACACCAAATCAACTCCCATTTACGAACCATACATACAAGGAGCTATAGTTCACAAAGGGACCATCAGTATGTTTCTCCATTAGAGGGAGTCAACTGCTTATTTCTAGCTTGAGGGTAATGACTACACGAGCATGGGGTAAGGAGAGAGGCAGATCTCCTTGAACAACTACAGCCAGTACAGACATTGAGTCCATGCAGTTAGCTTTATCCTGCATCACACTCTGATCGATAGCCAATTGAGTTAACAAATCTCACCTAATCTACCAGAATTGACATCTAATCATATTGAAAACCTACGATTACACACCGTGAGAAATCAGAAATTTATCTTTCAAATTGTAAATACCTAAATCTCCCCAGTTTACTGTCCGAGAAGGTTTCGTTCTATTAATACAATAAACACTAGGCTGGTGACAGAAACACAACACAAAAGCACAGCATGTCATGTTTCATCTACATTCTCAATTAGCAAATAAGTTTTAACATTATGCAAACATTAAAATATCCAGCAATGATGAACTGAAGTCAAATGAGATCATTTTCTTTGATAATGAAATTGCATTATCCTTCTGGCTGTTCTCGGGGGGTTTTACAGCACCATCTACTGCTCACAGTTCGTGTATACATTAGACTGCGAACTGCTGCATATTCACAAACACTGAACAGAGTTGAATAAATTTTCTGATAATCAGATGCTTTCCTTCACAAAATGCAACACACTTGCACACAGTTATTTATAAAATTAGCTGATTATTTAACTGACTAGTGGAGTAGTGCTGTTTCCTACAGTGTTAGAAAGTCAAGAGGGGACAGTCTCCCAGTTTGCTGCTGAATTTGAACATTTCTAAAACTCTTCAGTATTTTAAGAAGTAGAAGAAAATAAAGATTCAATCCCTACAGCATTTTATGGAAAACAGTACATGCATGAGTCAGGCAGATTAGTTAGAAGCATATATAATTGTAACAGCACCATCTCATTGATAAGTTGGAGAGTTATGTACAAAACCCTTAATATAACTAACTGTATTGTGCTGTAAGTCTTAAGTTTGCTAATTGTCATGCAAAACTACTCAAAGATTTAACCAATCATACAACCAGAATATTCTCCAGCTCCTTCTCTCTGCCTCTACAGGTCCCCATTTAAAACCTGATGCACGGAGCATCAGTAAATGGAGATCTCCATTTTGTTACCAGTATCACTACCAGCTGTTGCCTTACTGCTCACTCAGGAGTTTAGCTCATTCTCCAGGGAGTCCTGCCACTCACACTCCCTCTCAGCTTCACACTCCCATTATCCCAAATTCTCTGCTGCTCACCCTATGGTCAATGCTGCATCAAAATAGGCCAGAGGCAGTACAACTTAAATAGAATGTCAACGTTTAATTTATTTTGATTTTTCAAAATGTCACTCCTGTGCATCGATTTAGTTTTTACTCTTCTTTATCAGACAAACGCCTGGGTGGGTCTCTGCCAGTTGTTGTCTTCAAGCCAGTTAATTGGATATGATTAAGGGTAATCTGAGGTCAATTACATATTTTTCAGTCCTATGAAATCAACTCATGTTGCCCTTTGACATGGCTTAAATAGATACAGAGAATGTGAAATTACCAAAAGTGATTGTATAGGTTCAGGCAATATATCATTTAACTACAATTAAATATGAGCAAGGGATACATAACCACTAATTAAAGTTGATAGGATGAAACAAAATTGAAATATCGAATATATTCAAATAAGATAGGGGAATGTGTAATCCGCTAACATAGTTTGATTTTGAGTTTGGATTTTGAATTTGAACTAGTGGCATATGGGTTTTCTGTGTTTGAAGGGGTTTATTGATTAAGCTGTAAGCATTTCTGTAGCCATGATGATTGTTTTGAACACAGAGTAAAAGAGAAACTTCCTAGAAAGTAGTGGGTATTTGTTTACATTGAGAGAATTTTAGGATTGAACAAAACAAGTAGTTATGTGTTAGACTCCATTTTAGAAGGTCATGGACTATTTATTTTCTTTTGATTAAGGCATTTTGCTCATTGCTTGGAAAAAGCTTTTGTTTTTAGCTTCAGTCTGAGCAGCTTAAATTCTTGGCTGAAGATGGATCCATAAACAATTTCTTCTGAGAAAGAGAGAGGGTAGTTCAGAATTGTTAAAAATAGGTTACTTCAATGTCACAAGTTTAATAAAAGCTCCAGGCCAGAAGATTTTTGTTAAAACTCTGAAGGGATTATTTGAAGCTGAGAAAGTTTAGGTTCAATGTGTGAAGGCTTCAGGCAGAGACCAACACTTTCACAAGACTGGAAGTTGAAGTCACAGTGAAATTAATTCCTATAGGAGTGGTAGAGAAGGTATTTTCTCTGGTGTCAGTACTAGAAAGGGATGTTTTGTGATAAATAAGATCATACATTTACCGTGTGCTACATCTAGATGGTTATGTTTATTCTATTTTTTCTTCATTATTTTTGTGTAATAACCTTCTGTTTCATTGTTATATCCGAATGTGCAACATTGTATGCTCATGTTTCATTGAGAGACCATCTTGGCAAAACAAAATAAATGGCCTATCAAGTCAGATTTCAGTGTGGGATCTGACTTATCCAGTAATAACATTAACTGGGATCATAACAATTTTAATATTGGAAACAGAGATGAATGGGTCACTTTCAAGCTGACAAACTGTAACTGCTGTGGTACCAACTAATTAGGATCAC